TGCTGTTGTTTCTTACTGATGACCTTCTTCAGGTTAACTCAGCAGAAAATAACAATTCTTGAATTCCTATGAACTAACCAATTGAAACAAATGGCTCTAGTTTAATAGTATAGTTCAATTAAAGTATAAATGCATAAAACAAGAGAATCACATCAAAAACCGGTATTAACACGTTGCTGTGCCCTGAGATAAATCAAGATCTGTGCAAAGATCACAGTTTAGTTTGTTCTGAAGATAATGTGGGTTGTTTTTTTTCTTTCTCTAAATATTATTTTTCAGAATGACCATTCTTCCTCCAGTAGAGAAGCTGAAGATCCTACTGGAGAAAGTGAAAGACTTCCACATAAAGTTTCTTGAAAAATATGCATGAAACTACTGTGGCTTTTTCCCCCTCATCCCTTCCCCTTCAAGGCAAATGAAGACTGAACAAAGATGTGCTGAGAATGTGCTGTTCATCTAATTTAACTAAATTCAAAATAGATAGAACCAGTCTTAGATACTGCTGCAACTTATTGGACTATTAAAAAGTTAATGTCTGGTATAGAAGGCATTGTTACACCAACTTGTTTTTTAAGGGGAAGGGGAAGAATGTGAAGGAAGTGGTGAGAAGAAAGAGTCAGTAAATGCTTTTGTGCCTTGATTGGAAGTTACATTGTGAACTTTTGACTCAATAGGTTGGGAAAGGGAATTGCTCACTAAAATTATTACTGTTACGTGGGGTTTTTTACAGAACAGAAATGCAAAGATCAATTGTTTAGCTAGGAAAATGTCCCATCCTAAAATTCTACTAAACAAAAATTCAAACCCCAACATTTATAGGTATTGTTTGGTTTAATTTTTGTTGTTATTATTAAGTATGAAATGTCCTCCAGATCTGATTAAGCATGTAGGTACATCATGCTTATTAAAAAATCTTTGGCACATGTGCGCATATACCTTTAAAATTCTACTAAAAAGAAATCCTGCCATCACAGCATAATTGGAATGGAATATACAGTTTTGATCAGAGGAGTGAATACAGTGTCTACTTGGACCCTATTTTTGTGAAACTGAAAGATAATGAGGAATATTTTCTTCTTATTCATGTGCTGTTCAACACAAAATCCCAGCACAAGAGCGCTGAACATTTCCTCTCATACCAACTCCACGAGTCTCCTGTTAACTCTCATCTTTTGTACACATGGAACATAGTAAGGTACTGTTTCAAAGCAGATGTGAGCAGAGTCAGTCCTTTCAAGTAGGGTAAGACACAACACACTTCCAGAACCGCTCTGTCTGTGGAGAACATTTGTTTGGAATCACATGACAGAGACCCACGATGTGGCCAAAATCCAGCTTGAACTGGCAAAGACTAACACATGTTACCAGGGGAAATGCTGAGGGGGATTTCTAATGAAGGGAAAGGTATTTAAAGGAAAATGTCTTGCACCAAGCATAAAGGGAATGATAGTACAGCTGACACTTAAATCTTCCACTGGCTGAATGACCCTGAGTGCTTATTAAAGCCTGGCTCAACAAGGTTGCTATCCAGTACAGCTGTATGACTCCACTAATCTATGCCAGTTTTCCTGCAAAACAAAGGACAGCTTCTGTTTCTCTAGAGCTGGAAGCTGGACACCTCCTACTAGCTCTGACAAAGGGCTAAAGGAACAGAGCTTCCAGTATTCAGGCGTGAAAGCATTAACATTTGTCAGGCTTCGCCTCAGCATTTACAGAGTTTATTCATTAAGAATATCACATTTAATCCAGTCATTAATTTTAAGTTACTATATAGAAGCAAACTCATTTTCATGTCTATTAGCACTTTGTTAGGCTGCCTTTGTAGCTGGTTCAACATCCTCTGCTGATCCAAGTTACTAAAGCCAAGGGCTACAGAATCACTGTATGGATAAACCTGTGCCAATTTAGTATGTGTGGAGGACGAGAGGTGTTGCCAATAACTGTCCTTACAACAGCAACCACCAGTCTAGGACACAGCATTAGCTGTACTCCTCACAGTCCCTTGCTGAAGTCTGTGAGAGGAATTTAGTCCTTCTCAATCACCTGCCAGTGGTCCCAGGTCCATGAATGGAAATGTCACACTGCTACAGAGTTACTGTGGGGGCTTGGAGAGAAAAAAATCGTACTATGAGAAATGCACTTGTGGGAGGACAGCAGACTGAGAATACTTATGCTGCTACTATCCATTGATAAATACAACCTTTTATCTGTTGGCATCCTTAATATGCACTAATAAAACAAATCCAGAAAGCGAAACTGTAGTAGGAGATCAGAATATTGATGTGAAAGTAAGACAAACAGCACTTTCCTATTCTGGGAATGTGCCCAAGTGAGATCTGGCTTTGGACTCGTAATGCAGTGTAGATTGAAGCTAAGATCTATCAATGGGAGTTAGAATATTTTTTTATATTTTTGTAACTACAGCTTTTTCATGGGGTAGTATTTGTAATCTAATAAGTCAATAGATTTTATATTTGCCTTGCATTTGCACCTGTTACTTCTGGAAAAAAATGTAAAGGTTTACAAGTTTCTAATGATAATTTACAGGTGTGAAAGGCTTTTTCTTTTCAGTCGGGACAGCAATTCTTACACTTTTAAATCAAAATATAATGACATAAACTGAGTTTTTTCTAAACATTCTATTATGGTGCCTTTTATGTTTGTGACATTATAAGGGATAACAATTTGTTCTTGATGCATCTCATGTGGAAACGTGGTGATTTCTATTGTCCATCCACAATATTCGTATGTATTGTGATAAGGTTAATGTGCATTTTTGTGGAACAATGCTGTAAAGCTAAGAAAAGAGGCTTATTTTCCATGTCTTTGAAATCTTTCATCAATAACAGACAATCCTTACTTTCAAATGCATGCTTCTAGGTTTGATCTTCCTACAGGTGCTCCTTATAGCAGTACTTCAGATGTATGAGACTTCCAAATAATAAAGCACATATTAAAAAAAGGGTAATAATTCTCCGTTTCCTATGTCACTGAAGCAACACCAGCTGGATTGCACTATGACACATTAACCCCCTGTTCAAACCAGTATTTACTAGTATTTAGTATGCATGTACCAGATCATTAATCTCTGCATCACTTCAATTTATGGACTTGAAATTTGTCCAACTTGTTACTGCAGAACTAATTCCTACTGTTACAGAACTGTAAACAGAGAAAGTCTTGGGCAAGTTTATGCTCATAATTAATTATACAATGTAAGGAGTTGTAACCAGGAGTTAGGCAAGCCAGACTTTTTTCTTCTAAGAGAGGATCAAGCAGTCAGTTGAGGCTGATCAACTGTGTCATGAAAGCTTCTGTGAGGGGTTTGTTTGTCAATGTTGGTTGCCCCCGTTTAAAAAAAACTTCTTACATGTTTTATATGAGATTAAACTTAATAATCTTTTTTTCAGTGACACCACAGAATTACTTTATTGTGTTTTTTTGGTTATTCAAAATAAAATGGCATTTAGGGAAAGGGAAGTTAGTTCTGCTTCCCTAAACATACATGCTCCCAAAGCAGAATCTTCTCTTCTTTTTATCAGGTATTTGAGTGCTTTCTGGAACAGAAACTTTTCCTCCTTTTTTTGGTGGGAGGCTGGTGGAGGTATGTTATTTATTTTACAAACAAGATGGTCTGATATGAAATGCTTATATTATGAATTGTCAGATTTTTTACAGTTTTTTTTTTCAGTGACATAGGCTGTCCCATCTGGCTCAGGAGATAAGGGTGCTGTACCAGATGCATATGATACAGAAAAAGCTACTACAGAAAGGTTTACAGCATGAACTGTATACACTGTATGAAAACCACTAACATTTTAAAATATTGTCTAAATTCCTTTTTATAAATTTCCTTGGTCAAATTTGTACAAAACCCAGAGACTCATACCTCAGGTATGATTTTTTATTTGGATGCATGTAAGATAATAAGTTTCTTCAAGGAATTCTACTTTTAAGGATACAGATTTGAATATTCAATATTAGTTGTAGTAAATGCCTTTCTAATGTTCCACTTTATTACATGTTTATTAAATCCTGTGTTCACGTGATTAGAATTTACACAACCTGTAACAATTTGCATGAGGCACAACAGGTTATTCATTTTGCCAGCTTGGAAGCTTTGAAGCTTTGAAGGCCTGCATATTCTGCACGCTGAACAGCAGTAAAGTAGCTAAACCCAAACCTCAGCTCTGAAATAGGGCAGAAAGGTTTCCCAGTACCTGCCCAAGCCCTGGAAGTGTTCACTCCTTGTGTGCGCAGTTTTGCAGTGGCTGCTCCAAACAATTAATTTGTTCAGGACCAAGTGGTGTGTGTGTATGTGTGGTGTGAGCCTGCCCAGCTCCTGTCAGGGCACGAGGGTCATAAAATCATAGAAAACTGCTGAGGGGTTGGAAGGGACCTTGAAGACCATCTGGTCTCAGCCCCCAGCCGTGGGCAGGGACACCTTCCACTAGATCCAGCTTGGCTTTGAGCAGTGTCAGGATTGGGGCATCCACAGCCTCCCTGGGCAACCTCTGCCAGCACCTCACCACCCTCATTCTCTGTAATATCTAGCCTAAATTTCCCCTCTCAGTTTGTACCCATTATTCCTTGTCCTATCACTACAGGATGGGATAGGGTAGGGTAGGGTAGGATAGGATAGGATAGGATAGGATAGGATAGGATAGGATAGGCTTTGAGCCTCTCTGCCCATCCCTCGGGCACCCCCGAGACGAGGCACCCGCAGATCCCCACCCTTCTCTGCCCTCCCTTCTGACAGGAGCCGGGGAAACCCCAGGGTACCCTCGGCCCCCGCCCCGGCGCTTCCCAGGCCGCCCCATCCCCTCCCCGAGGGTGTGTCCGCCCCATCCCCTCCCCGAGGGTGTGTCCGCCCCATCCCCTCCCCGAGGTGTGTCCGCCCCATCCCCTCCCCGAGGTGTGCCCGCCCGGCCCGCGGGCGGGGGCGGATGGAGGGAATATCCCCCGCTTTCCCCGCGGTCCCGGGCTCGGTTCCCGGCGGGATGGTCGCCAAGCCTTTGCCGAAGCCCCCGGGCAAGCGGCAGAGCTCGGACTCGGGCGTGGAGCCGGACCGCGGGGCGCTGCTCCAGGAGCGGGACCAGCGCCCCGGGCTGTCCCAGGAGAAGAAGGATCAGCGCATCGCGCCCTTCGTCAGCGACTTCGACCATCAGGGTATGGCGGGGGGCGGCGGGGCTGCCCGGGGCGAGGCGGTGGTGCCCGCCCGCCGGCACTTCCCTGCCCGGGATGGGTGGAGGGAGCAGCGGCTCCCGGTGGGAAGAGCCCCCGGGCCGGGAACGCGCCCTCGGGCAGCGCCGCCGGCACCGCGGTCTTCGCCCCCGAAGGAGTGGCTGGTAGCAGGCGCTCCGGCTCCCAAGTCGGATTTCTCCGGATAAAGCGTTGTTTTAATTTCCTTTTATAATGCGATCTTCCAACGTTTATACTTGGAAACATGTAACACGCATGGCAATAAAACCTGTTTTGTTTTAAAGACAAGGAGCACGTCCAGGAGACGAAGGAAGAGCTCGATTCGCCGCTGCAAACAGCTGAGAAGGCGTTTGCAGTGGAGCTGCTGACGATGCCGGCTGCCAGCAGGAAAATGAAAAGGAAAGACTTGCTCAGTAAGTGTGCGTGGCCCTGTCCTTGCGAGGGGTGCGGACAGGGTTAGGGCAGGATGTGTCTGTGAGAAAATCTGTAAACTCGGGGACTTTTATGAACAAGTTTGCTTTTTCTGGTGAGTATTTTAAGCTAATCAGCAGAGCTGTTACCCTGCAGATGGTCAGTAAGCACTCTTGTTCAGGTAGGCTGGTCTGTGTAATTCAGGGTAGAGAATTAGTAGGTAAAAATGTATAGTCTGGAGCTTTTTCTACGTATGCTCTAAAGTCTTATTTAAAGTCTGAAAATACAAAGAATAATTACAAACCTAGTGCTTTCTCTGCATAGAAACATAAGCACTTCTGTCCATCTGAATCTCTTCATCCCGACCATAGAGATTTTTTTAGTTTTTGGCAATTTGAAGCCTTTGACTACTGAGCCTTTCTCAATTAGTCGTTTACCTGTGATGATGAGCAAATAAGTTTAATTTTAACTCACATGTGTGCAGCAGTTTAAGATGTGGTGTATACTCAGCCTCAGATGTACATTTGGGTGAGAACTGATGTTTTTGGAAGCTACCTTGCAGCTGGAAATTGCAGGGGCCACACAAATATCAGACTTAAGACTCTTGAAGAACTTACGTTTACTGTAAGCCTGAGTATGTATTTTGGTGTTTTTCTTGAGCAACTTCTGCCTAAAAGCATTAGATTTCTGCAGTAAAATGTGTCTGTGTGATTCTTCTTTGAATTTTAGTTATATACTGTGTGACTACACTCAGTATCCTTTCAAAGATTAAACATACTGAAATTTTCATTGTTCTGTAGGATGACTACAAAAAAATGCAACATATATGCTAGCTAAGGTTAACTATTTAAGCCACTGTAATCCTGAATTACTTGTTCAGCTTCAAGGCCTTAAGATAAGAATTTGAAGATAAAAATTATGCAAGTAATAGTATCTAAACAAGTTACACTTTCTTGAACTACGGATTTGCAAGGAGGGGAGGAAGTGGCTCTTACTGCTGCAGTGGTAAGTGTGTGTTTTCAAATTTTATCACAGTTTACAGAATAGAATTCTCCTCTCCCTGCTGTAAATATTTCAGACAAAATATTTTGTTTGGCTGCGTGTTTAAATAGAAGATGATATTAAAAGACTAGAGAGCCAGCCAGTGCAGTTATGAACATTACCTAAACTTTTAGGGTCATCTGCTGGCAGAAATCCAGATGTTCATGCAAAAATAAACTGGTGTTTAGCCAATCCCACTTCTGTCACTTGCTTCCATGTGCTTTTGTGACATAATATTTATTTACTGGGTAAAATCTCTTGACCTCTCCTTGTTGGATAAACACTATCTTTTAGACTGGAAGGTGTTTATATGAGACAGGTGGTTGGTTGCACAGAACTTCAGTATGAATATGTTTTGACAGCATGAAACTCCTTTTAGAATGCATATTTGCCATTTTAGATATATGTAGAACTGTATGTGTGTGTGTGTATGTATATATATACAGACACACATATATATATATATAGTGGGGCTTAACTGCTCTTTTTCAACTGGGAATTCTTACAGTATTGTTTCCTGAAAATACCTATCATTTTGCTTTCAAATGCCACTTCTTTTAACTGCAGTCTTTCATATACATTTTCAGATTTCCAAAACCAAACCATTGGTTTCACTGGCCTCTGGTTTAAATGGCAAACTGAACCCTCTTTCCAGGTAAAACTGACCTTTGATAGCTTATTTAACTCACCTGAACTTGTGAATGCTGAAGAAAATTATTTTCAAATAAAGTAGCTGAGATTTGAGCCCAGCAGGAATACATCTGATAAGGATGTCCTCCCTGACTGAATGAGATGCACTGTGGTTATGTGAAACCTGGGCTAAAAAGCACCTCTAGATGATGAAGGTATGGAGTTGTACTTCTTAGTGAATGGCACATAGTTCTGAACTTAGGGAATCAGTATAGATTTCCAAACAATACTTAAGGGAAGAGAATACATAAGGGAAGCATCTTTGCTCTGTTAGGACTAGTAAATTGTTCTGTAATAAACACTCAATTTGGTTATTACAGACCTCTCTTACCTACTAAGATCAATTAACTCTTTTGTTCCTGTATGTTGTTAGGTCCCAGGATATCATGTTTACCTCAGGAGGGCTTTTTCATGTGTGTATATAGTAGATGTCTGTCCTGGAGCACTCCCTAATCCATTCTCTAATCCACTGTCTGTCTATCTTCATCCCAGCTAAAACTCCACATTAGAAGTAGATGAGGAGGAATAAATAAAAATAATAACAAAACAAGAACAAACAAAAAAACCCCCAAACAAAATAAAAAACTGATAAGTACTTTTTTTTTTCTTTTGAGCAATTTAAAATCCTTCTGCAAGTCACACTCGCAGTAGAGTAAAGTCTCTTACTTCTTATTGCAGTGCCACAAATCTCAGAGCCACTCCAAAGATACCTAACAGGTAAGGGGTTATAATGGGCTAATTAAAAGATGGAGTCTGCTTCACCATTGCCTCAAGCATGGAGCTAAAAAGCTTGATGTGCCAGCTGAGCTGCTTGTGAAACCACCTAGCAAGTGCCCAGGTAGCTGAGCCATTCTTAGCAAAAAGGAAGGTCCTTGGATAAGAAGCGTTACAATCAAGAACACAGCAGGGACTTACTCTCCCAAATAAGGTATGCCAGGCAGACCTTGCTTGGATACTGGGGCACCAGCCTATGGAAACTCAGGCCCATCTTGGTCCCAGGCAAACTTTGTTTGGGTACTGGTGAACTGGCCAGTGGGCACTCAGGGTCTGCCACGGGGAGGGTATTTAAGTTGGTGTGCCAGTGGCCTTTGTGGTGGTTGTAAACTCCTGTCCTGTGCTTTTAACAGTCACCCTCAGCTTTTCCTGCTTTTCTGTCTCCCTTCTTTCTCTCTTCTCTTTTGTGTAACAAAATAAAGTTGAGTTATCCTTTTTGGAATCAAGCATCTGGCCTCGTTTGTGCCTTAATCCCGCTTATGGGAGTGTTTTAGAACCTGGTTCCCCTCCTTGTCTAAGCAGATCAGAACAGGGGTTTTTGGCTTGTTCTTAATAAATAATTTTGTTAAATACCACATGATTTCATGGAATATTCTGAGTTGGAAGGGACCCACAGGGATCATTGAGTCCAACTCTTAAGTGTGAGTCAAAGGAGCAACATCTCTACCTCAATTAGCTTAGGAATTTAGTGGTCTCTGACCTTAGAAGAGGAGCCGTACCTTAATCAACAAAAATGCATGTTTTCCTGAACTTTACCATTTTGGCTGTTTTTCTCTTAAACCTATAATCAGTTTAGTATCATAAAATAAGGGTAAAGGAAGCTGAGATAATTGAAAGCAGCTGACTAGTCCACCTGAAGGACATTAACCAAATGCATCATATACTTCAAAAGGCACAATCAATAGACGTTGTTTTACTAGGAATTGAATTCAAATAAAGGACTGTTGAAGTAGAAAAATAACAGGAGGTTATCTTTTAACTAGTGATAGATGTGTCTTGTAGTGGGGTAAAGACAATCAGATGAGATTGTCCACAGCCCCAAATTCCTGCCACGAAAGAGACACTAGATGGCATACTTGCTCCACGAAAGAGAAGTCAGGTGAGATTTGGGTATAGGCTCATGCCATAATAAGGTGGGTAGTTTTCTGGGAAGCAACTTTGAATGTTACAATGTATAAACAGCCGAAGAAACTGTACTTCGGAGAGGATGTGTGGCGAATGATTCCCCGTGCTCCCGTCACGACGCATTAAAGGAATGTTTCATCCCAACGACACCGGTTGGTGCTGTAACTCAGATCCCTCTGTTCACTGTGAGACCCCTTGGTGAGACAGACGTTTTGAGGGCGCCCCTGGAGATTTCTCCGGCAAAACCTCGCTCAGCCACGGGATCATTGCAGGAGCAGACAAGGTCCTGGCCACAGGTAAGTACATTCCTTTTCTGGTATGGTTGAAAGACCAGACTCTGGGTTATTGCCTATAAGTCGTTACATATGAAGTTTTGGACGAAGTGTATTGGGCTGCCAGTGCCTTATAGATACACATCAGGCACTTTATATATGGTTCTGTCTGTCATCTGGTCTCCTGATTCGGGGTTGATATTTGTCAGCTTACAGACTTGGAATTGTGTGTATTGTAATTTCTATTTGGGTATATTGCTATCCTGTCCCTTGATTCCCTTTGTAGAAGGTGTCAGCCAGTTATAATTGCTCAGTGCCAATGGGAAGGTTGTCTGGGACTCATCAGGACAGACTCAAGCTGAGGGTACGAGTGGCAGTGTAATCTCACTATTTGCAAGCACCTTCAGACTTGGGGCTGGGGGGACAATACAATAAAGCCCAAATTCACCCTTGTAAGTGGTACAGCGAGTTAGTAAAGCTCTGGGGATAGATTGGCAGTGGCATCGCATAGTCCCTACTGTCCCCAGGCCAGTGGGCAGGTGGAAAAGATGAATCATTTGATCAAACAGCAGTTGGCAAAGATTGGTCAAGAGGCTAATCTGGGGTCAGATCAGGCATTATCACTTGACCTGCTTAGGATCAGAATTGAACCACAATTAAGGAAGGCCTAAGCCTGTTTGAAATATTATGTGGAAGGCCTTATCAAATCCAGTGCAAGGGAGAAGACATGAGTTAATTAGGAAAAAACTGTTTGAGGCAATATGTAGTAGCTCTAGGGAAACAGTTGAAGGAAATAATAAAGTGTTCTTGGGACTAGAGCTAGAGGAGTAGACCATGCAGTTCATTGTTTTAAGCCTGGAGATTGAATGTATGTTAAAGCTTTTTCAGGTCAACCTCCGGAGGGGAAGTGGAACAGACCCTACCAAGTGCTGCTGACAACCTTCACTGCAATCAAGATCAAAGAGCATGGATTCACTGTTTACGAGTGAAGAAAGCACCTGAGAAGACTTGGGCATCAGAACCAGGCAGACCCACTACTGTCAAGTTTTCTCAGCATTGATCTTTGATAAGTATAACTCTGACTGAGACTTTTGCCTTAGACTGGCCATGTTCTCAAGCATATTGTGGGTTCTCTGGTCTAGAGACCATGTATATAGATGATCATCAACAAATGGCTACATATAATACCTCTGCTGTGGTCTTACAAAGAGTCACAACAATCTTAAAAGGTTGGCAGAATCAACACTATGGTGCAAACATTTTGGCTGAAGTTGTTGGAAAGGAAGTACAAGTAGGATGTAAAATACTTAATCCACCCCTACAAGAAAACTAAAAACTGCAACCTCAAATTTTTATGAGAAATTCTTTGGCTCCTGGGGGTCCATCCTGTTCACCTTTTCTTAAAACTTCATATGCAGGATGGGCAGCGTGGCTGCACAAATGTACATTCACCTTCAAGAATTGGACTAGAAGAGATATAGTTGGGGCACTAGGATCAGGATTAGGGATTTTGAACAGCATGGATTCTGAAATATTAATAAATAGGTTGGAAAGAGTGACCAGCAATTTGAATCAACTGCGAAGTCCCCTAAAATCTTCCCTTTCAGCCCTAGGAGCTAGTCAACAACTCACGTTAGAAGCATTACTCCCATGGGAAGAAACTAATGAAAATATCATCTGTTAATTGCAAAAGCTCCTGGGACAGCTCAGACCAATGTTTGTTTGGCTCAGAGTTGTATTCAGGCTCAAGCTTGGATACAAACAGTGATAGTGGCAATCATTAGGGAAGGTGAAATCTTATCAACTGAAATTTGTGCAGTTATTTGGCAAAATGTGACACAATTTGAATAAGAATTACAATTGTGGTGGTAATGAGTTAATTTGACCTCCTGATCCTACTACTGGTGTTGCTACAGCCTTTGTACTAACTGTACAAAAAGCTGAAATTAATGGGATCAACCCAATTATCACCTTAAGGGCAAGTCACGACAGAACTATACTGGAACCCGAGATGTTGTTTGGGCCCTGAGAAAAGGAGATAAGTGACACACAATTGATGTAGAGGCATGCACTGTACAAGAACAACAAGGATATATCTGAGAGCAATAGTATGAGAGCACAGGACATCTGTCTAGATACTGAACAAAACATTTGTCATTATGAGATGCACCCATTTGAAAATCCAAAACCTGTGATTGTTTACATAAGGTAAAGGCTGTGCTTGCTTGAGGACCCCATGCAGCCTGTTGCATGTAGATAATCATTCTTTAATGACCAGTAATCATTCCAATTTCTGTGTTTGCAATTTTGTTAACGTTGAAGGGTGTGATTTTAATTATGCAGCTCCAGTTGTTTTGTACTCCTTGTTACGATGTGACTGTGTGTTATTTTGAGAGGTCCAGCCTGCCCCCACTAGAATGGACTATGCCTTGCCTGCAGAATTATTGCATCATGAAGACCTGCAGAAACTGTTGAAGCAAATCCAAGAAAATGGATGAAAGACTCTAGTTATGGTCCAGCATGATGTAGAAAAGATTCACCACACACTCGAACGAGTGAAAGAAGACAGAAAGAACTACTGATGGGATACTTTCATGAGAAAATCTCCCTCAGCAACTCAAGTTTTGAATGTGTTGATTTTGTTGTTTATAGTGGTAATACTTTCAGTGGTCAATTTTGTATTCCAGTATAAGTTAAGAACCTTAGCATCTCAGGTAATGAAGAATTAAAAAATAAAATACAATAGAAATATAAATAAAAAATAAAAATAAAAAAATAAAACTAAAGTAAGAAAAAGTAAAAAGTAAAAGAATAAAATTATTTTATGGACCAGGCAATTAGTTACTCTCACCAGGAGTATAATTTAGTACTAGCAAAATTCAAATGTTTTTTTCAAATTGCTGATAGACTTCAGTTGCAGACTTGGGCTGCAGACTGAAGTGTAGCTGCTCTGAAAATTCCAGGAAAAGGTGTAAAATGATGAGTGAAAAATGTCAAGGGTAATATTTGTTTAATGTGATTTCACTCATACGTTTATATCCAAAAATGTCTTTCTAGACCACCTGGGAGTTCTACTGTTGAGTCAGGTTAGCCCTTTCCTTTTTCACATTTACTCCATTTTGTTTGTACTTCCCAAGTCTATTTTATTTTTCTCATTTTCTTTTACCCTGCTGGTTTGTTCTTTCTTGGCTTTATTTTTAATTAGTTAAACATAAGTGGCCTTTGACATAGCAAAGATTATGAAAACAGTGGGACGTTGGTTACTGCTTTGAAAGAGTAAGGCAAATATTTTTGTGTTTGTTCTCCTTTGTCTGTTCCCTCTCTCCTGGGGTTGTATTGTCAGTAAGTGAAGTAAAAGAGCCACTTGAAGGGGGGAAAGAGAGTTTATTTGGAATCTTTCTTAGTTTTCTGTGGATTATTAGGGCTAAAAGCCCTAATAAATCTTAGTTCCATTGTGCTATGCAAAGCTACAAATGTGTAATGAGAACATCTGAAGTTTACAACATTAAGCATTATGCCAGACCAGACCTGGCAGGGAGATGGTACCTAGATTTATGCATGCAGATCAACCACCAGAGATTTTGAGCTGGCATCTAATCATGTTTAACATCTCTTGGAAATCTGTCCTCTGACAATGGAAGCTCCTATGTGGAAACTGGCCTACTGGAAAGCTCTCCTTTTATAGTCATTTGAAGACCATGGGGGAGATGGTGATATGAAATCTGAAAGTGTTTCCCAGCTCTGGTGCCTGTCCAGCACTGTAAGCTTGAGAATATAACCTTTCACTTGTTTTAGACCTTGTCATATCCAGTAACAAATGTGGCCAGACTGTGCATGTTTGGTCTCCTGTTGAGACTTGTGTTGTATTTAATTTGGAACTGCAGCATCTTGTGATGACCAGAGGTGGTGGCTGTTGAGATGGTCGATCCTGTTGCACATGGGCAGTGTGGCTCCCTGAAAAATGAACACATGCAAACTGTTCCCTTGCTTGACTTCAACCAAAAGTTGTTAAAGAGATTCTGCTAGTTAAGTAAAGCTCAAAATTTGGC